GAATTAGCTTTTACGGTCCACGGGTGGCATCCCAGTAGATCGGAACTCACTACATTAAATTAGCATTGCATACAAATGAGAGATAGGCGATAAGCTTACCGTGCAAAAACCCGACCCTTAAGCTTCCTAGCGTGCCGCTGCATCTGATAGCGATGGGTATCCAGACTAGCGAAGAAGTACGCCCCACCGTGGATATACAGCATGATCCGCTTTTGACTCGGATGATCACGACTGGTCTGCTTCCGCTCATTGTAATCATCCTTCATCTCGATCCACTCTCCCTTGAGGTCCTCGGCTGGTCCACGCCATTGCCACCACTCACTTCCTCCAACCCGTGCGATGCCCTTGGGACCCAACTGTTGGTTGATGGCCTTGGCCGCTGACGAGAGGTATTCCTCCGACACAGTCACGGTTTGTAGTTTCACCCAATGGGGCGCGGGCACCTTTTGGCAGGTAAAGGCCTGGAGATCCTCGACGGGATGTTTGGAGGCATAGACAAGGAATTCACGCAGGATGCGGATGGCTTCATCGTAGGTGACGTGGACGTTGGGCTTCTGACGAAGCGATTTGCGATGGACATACTGGAAGTAGAGGATCAGGGTCAATGTCAGAGTCAAGGTCCATGAACTATGACCCGAGATCAAACAAAATGGGGATAGAACAGTGAAGTGACAGCGGCAGGGCGACCCACATGCGAGATCAGGGTCTGGAGGACGGCCGGAGTGAGGGCCACACTCAGGGCAAAGGTGTTGAGTGGCATTGTACTAGTCTAAAGGGGGGAGCAGTCGACCAGGACACATGGCTCGAAAAGCCAAGTATAAGAGACGGAAAGAGAATTGCAGGGGACAATAATAGTAAAGAAGGATAAAAGATGAAGATTTAAAGTGGAGGACGCGAGCGGGTCAAAAAGAATGAAGGGGGGGAAGAAAGGGGTGGGAGGTGGAACGAGCGTGCATGCAGCGAAAGAGGGAGGAGAGAGAGCGAGATTAAGAGAAAGATAAAGGAGAGGAAAGGGACAGGAACACGAAGCGATTGCCACATGTCATTGGGCACTGCATCGTCATTGCATTGATAGTCAAAGTAAGTAGAAGAAGAGAAGTGGAGAGGGTTATCCAAACTCTCTTCAAAAGATCCCGACCGGTCGGCGGTGATGTCATGGGACCCCCGTCCCTGGCAGCCCCAATCAATTCAATCAATCACCGCCACTCAACTTCCTGTCGATGACTTGTTTCTTTTGCCAACGGATGTGCAGTAAAGAGCCACGCGTTGCTGCAGCAAGCCAAGACTGCACGGTGGACTCGCTCTCTCAGCCTCAGTCTTGCCATTCTCTCCCCTACACAGCCCGCTGGCAGTGGCGCTGAGTAGAAATATATATTATACTAGCATAGTACTAGTAGAGCAACCAGCCCCCATGAAGCTACTATGAAAGAGTCCTGAGTAGTACTACATTATTTTGACAGAGTGATATGTTCCCAGAACCGAATATGTTACAGCCCTGGAGACAGACCAACTCAAGCTTATAATCTTATCATCATATAATGTAACCGGTGGTTAATTCCCACTGCATAGTAGCTATCAACTCTTCCCCTTTTGCAACAAGCTTAACAACGCTACAAAGAAGGCACCAACGGTCCATGCTATAGCCCAGTCATCGAAAACTAACCTTGCAATGGCTACGCTTAGCAAGATTAGTATTACTCTCATAAGTAGCACCATATGCCGCAAATTGCCTTCCCAATTGTCGCCGATCATCAAGCCGCGAAATTGAATCTCACCCAACTCCGGACAATGCCAAACGTTGAGTTTTCTCTGGATATCTCTATTGATTGAGGATCAGTACTTCCCGTTCATAGATATTGACGAACGAAGGAGACCCATACTGGTGACCATGTATTAATCTCTCCCTGCTAAGGAGGTGATTGTGTGCAGCAATCTTAGCTTGAAAGAAGCACTGGGTAAGTATAGGCCGGAGACTGAGTAACGAGAGCTCACGTTCCGCTCTGAATTTAGTCCTCTCAGGGCATTCTGCATAATCCGCATAGCTCGTTACACAGTCATCATGACAGTACACGGCCCCAGTGGAAGCTTTATATGGACAAGGCCAATCCTGAGGCTTGTAATCCGCGATGACTTGCTCCAAATGCTTCCTTTTGGCAACCGAATCTTCACTGTTATATATACCAACATATTCAATGCCTGTCGATCGATGATCATTGGCCAGCTTCTGCCCTGCAATAGAAATCTTTGGTATTGCAATCAGAATAATTGCCCCAATTTTGATGTTTAGGAGCCACATACATCAACAATTTCCACCTTATTTACACAAAACCATGGCAAATATTTCGCCCAAACGCCTCTCTGTGCGTAAAACTCCCGGGAAACTGCTTGCCACGCGGTAACCTCATCAGTTGGGTCAGTGATCACCACCGGAACAATCTGGCAGCGCTCTTTTCTGCCCCAACAGATAAATATCACGAGGAAGTCTTTCTCGAACATCAGCTTGAAGAAATCTCCCAATTCCTTTCTCCGGATTTTATGGGGACCAGGTGGGCGGTCCGTTGCACTTTGCTCGAACAGAGTGTCCGAGCTATCTTGCCTTGGGCATTCTCAACCACTGACTTTCATGCTTGATTGTGTTTCTCGAGTATGGATCATACCTTCGAACGCGCCGAATTCTACGCCCCGACGTTTGGGAAGTATTAGGCACCGAGATGCTTGCTATAGGTGGGGGAGCTTGATTGCGTCCAGTATCGGCAAGCGGAAGTAAAGATTGCCCTCGTGAGTTCCTCGGAAGGCGTGCATGCATCCATGACATATCAATAATTCGGAGGTACCGCTGAGCCAAATCTCCGTTGACGGCGAGATAATATGCTGAATTGCTGGGAATTTCTTCATCATTGTATGTTGATCGAAGCAGAGCTCGACTAGGTTTGGTGATATCTTGCATTTTGACTGCGAAAAGGGTGAGTAGCAGTGAGTTGAAACATTCCCAATACTTTGACAAGAGGTTATTGAATGCCAGAAGATACTAAGAACAATATATACACAACAGTCAACCCACATCTAGTACCAGGGAGCGCTAAAGCCTCGCAGCTCCAGCTGTAAGGCTGAAAAACTAAGAATAAATTAATTTTATAATATTAATATATTAAATTATACAGTTAGATTATTCCTGGTCAAGTATCAGTCTTGCAGCTTAGTAGCCTTGTCTCCAAGAAAGTCTTACAGTGAAATCCAATAACTTCGGCTGGTTTAAATTCATTATTAGTTAGGTACGTGCGGTAATTCTCTTGTAGGGGCTATGCTAAGCAATATACAAATTATTTGGATAAACCTAGGCCACATCAAGAGGTCGACAAAATTGGGCATAAAGATGAGGCTGCGAAAGAGATGACACAAGCCCTCAAATAAGAATTAGGCTTGCCAACTGTTTTACCCCTCCTCACCCTCGTCGGCGGCAAGCACAGAAGTATGCAGCCTTGCTTCTTTTGAAGCGGGGTAACGTCTGTGCTATAAAGCCACCTCATGCTATCGAAGGACAGGCTAAACCAGGCTCTAAACTCATGTAAAACCTCTATATTCTGTCAACTGAACCCACGTTTCCTTTTTGGTCGAAAATGGAGCCACGACCTAAAACCTCTCAATATGCAAGGTAAACACCTCTCCTCGTCATGATAAACCTTTACTAATATAGCCGAAGGATTTTCCGAGAACGACCGATCCAGGTGATTGTAGGGAGTGCAAAGAGCTCCTATTTTGTCCACCCTGAGGCCTTGTCATGGTGCAAAAACTCAGCACTAAGTGCGCGAATCGAAGGGCCGTGGAGGCAGCACGGAGATGAAAGTCCAATCGACTGGTCCGACTTTGATGAGCAGACAGTCGAATGCGTCTTAAGCTACCTTTATACGCAGGACTACTACGTCCCTGAGTTGAATTATTGGCCTGATGATGATTGCAAAGACGACAATGACGGCAAAGGTAGGGCGCCTCCCGCTAAAGTTGAAATCGGTGTTTTATTGTACCAGGATTGAGCCGTTCCATCTAACTGACACAGAGTTCGTTATATCTGAGTCCGCACCTGGTAGTCCAAAACCACCTAGCCGGCCACTAACGCCATTGAGTCAGTGTCTCGAGGTTGGCCTACCGGCAGATACTTACCTTACTGCTGCGGACGCTTGCACCTACCGAGGATTTCGGGATCCTCCTAACGATAGGCTTGGCACTGAAATTTTGGTCCATGCGAAAGTATATTGTTTCGCACATCGTTATTGTATCCGCGAGCTTGAGGTTTTTGCACTACAACGTCTGACAAAAGTTCTTATTGTCGTGGATGTAGAAGAAGAGGCTGTGTTTCCGTCTCTCGCAGATGCTATCCGTGTTGTCTACGATTCGACCCCGGGTGCGAATTTGCAACATAATCCTGCTCGAAATTTGTTATCCCAGTACGTTGCATTGCATTATACTAGATTGCCAACCGAGAGCTTGGATCGGGTTATGGCAGAGGGCGGTGATTTCGTGGTTGATTTATCACACAAGTTGGCTAGACGACTCAGGACAGGGACCTAGGTGCCCAGTCTCTGAAGAAGAAGATGGATGAGCTTCAATGAAAGATAAATGAACTAAAAGGAGGTCTTCAGGAACACGAAATCCAGCTTTAAAGTGCTAAGAAAGAATTGACAATGTGGCAGAATCGAAGACGGATGTTGGTATAACCTGGGATTGCCTACACTTGATGCACCACATCATAAAGCGGGCTGTCTCAAACTATTCAATATACTATATGATGTCAATTGACTGGAGTTCTGGTATCGTTATATAGTAAGGTTATCGTTGGAGGAACTGGAATGGGCCATGGTTCAATGACTCAGCAGGTCGTATTCGAAGGACCTGATGCCCCACTGTTTTCTGTACCTTATCACCGATTTCCTCGAGAAGAATGCATGGCCACTATGAGCTTACGGCAACACCTTCCCCTCTGCTCGTATCTTTTCTGGTGATACCCTCGTGTTCCTTTAGCCCAGCCAAAACATCCGCATCCATCCGGTTGAACCTTACTTTATGATCTCAACATGACGACACTAAGTGCATTTGCATCAACTGCTCTCGCTTCATGAATTAAATGCATTGAAACCTCTCACCAAAAATGAAACCCTCAAGCTCACCACATATTAAACATGCAACAGCAACCTGATGTATACCTCGAATCTCACAAACAGGTCCTTCAATGGACCAAAGAGTTGGAATTTCTGGGCTATATCCTCCTCGAAATAATTGGCCCGGATGGCCTCGAAGAAAGAGGATATTACTGTCACCAGGCAGCGGACCTCCCGGCAATTGTCGATACCCTTGAATGTGCTTGCTTCCAGCCCAACAGCAGGCTTCGGTGTGTATTAGACGAACGGACCTTAAGACATTTCAGAAGCCTACTCTTGAGGTCAAAGCAAATTCGGAACGTGATGGCTCACCATCTTTTGTTGAATCATGAGAAATTGTTGGCCTTGGGAAAAACAAAGGAGGAGCTTGAGCGGGAGTTTCAGTCTGCTATCAGTCAAGTTGCATCGAGATATAACATTCAACAGGTATATTTGATTGGAAATCATACTTACTATTGAATCCAATGAACTGGTTAGTTTTACGCTCTGACTAATGTCAGGTTACGTGGTATCCCGACGACACTGAGTTCAGTGGAATTTCAAACCGTCATACTGAAGCCATCGCTTTGGGCAGTGAGTCACCACTATACCAGCGCCAGAGAATCCTTTGGTCAGAAGCAGGGCCGTCAAATATGCCGAAAAAGAAGAAACACAAAGAAAAGAAAGAGATAGAAAAGAAAGAGAAAGGAAAGAAAGAGAAAGGAAAGAAACAGAAAAAGAAGAAACAGAAGAAAAAGGCGACAGAAGAAAGCCGAGCGGCCCATTGGAACGTTTTCGAGGCGTCCTTGCGACGTAAACTTGCAAGGATGCAGGAAGAGCAAGCCCGATTAATGGAGGCTAAAGCTCGAAAGCTTCAAGCCTTGGAGCAACTATACCGTCAACGGCGGCAGGCGAGAATAAACCAGATCAATCGGATCCTGCGTATGATGGAAGATGAAGAGCGAGACCAAAAAGTTCAACGCAGGAAGATTCTTGGCGAATCTTCAGGAGCCAGTGATAGCATGGATGCGCTTTTTATTCTTATCCTCCTAGCCTTGAGCTCTCCGTTGTGGCTTTCTGGATTGGTTGTCCGCAAATTTGGGGTACAAATCATGAGGTGAGACTGATGAGAGATCCATATTATTGAAAGCACAGCTTGGGGAATGAAAACATTTTGCTCGTATAATCATAACATAAGTCTTATGAATCTTTCCAATCTTTCAATTACCTTCCACCAACTTTCACTCTGGGCTGTAAGCATCTGAGACCGGAACTAGCTTTGCTTCATGATATCCTACAAACAGCGCGCACACCATTAGAAAGTTGCAACTTTGTTTGTGGACTGAAGTCAAAGTAACCAGCCGAGAAACTATTGACTGATTGGTGTGCCTGAGGAGGATTAGTACATTGGGCCGGGAGCCGCTGAGGGGACATTGCGCTAAATTCTACTTTAGTGAATGTTTGTAGATTTATCACATAGTCGCATTACTACCCGTATAAAATCAAAGCTCCTGGACTAGAAACGAATCATTAAATCCTATCTGAGGTACCTGGTGCCCGAGGCATTAAGATTCTTCCTTAGGTAGTACATATTGGTTTCAGGCCAAAATGTACACAATTTTCAGGCGGTAGGGGCTGTGCTGGCTTCAAAGCCAGGCTTCCTCAATGAGGTATGTAGCGTCTCCCTTATTATGCAGACCATTTGATCTTCAAAAATAATCCTACCTTACAAATTCTACCGATGTATAGCTTCACGGATAATATAAACAGACAAGGCCTTGATAATAAACAGATTATCCCAGCTTCTAAAGATTAAAATACATGAATGTCTCCCCATCAGCATCCCACAGCATCTCCTACCCCTAGGTAGTACTTCTCCTTATTTAGGACACGCAGGTGCATTTGCTATACCGCTGATTAGCCGAAATTTTTTTTTCTGTTTGGATAGAATCTACTCACCCCTTCTTGCACTTCTTCTTCTTGCAAGACGAGGAAGAAGAGGAAGAATCCTTAGTCTCCTTCGAAGACTTGGTAGTAGTCTTAGTAGCCGTCTTCGTACTCTTGGTCGTGGTGGAAGTCTTGGTGGAGGTGGTGGTTTCCTTGGTCTTTGTGGAAGTCGAAGTCGTGGTTGTGGTATCCTTAGTTGAAGTGTCCTTAGTCGAGGTATCCTTGGTGCTCGTATCCTTCGAGTCAGGAGTAGCCGTCGACGTGGTCTTGGTGCTAGTGATAGTCGCGGTATCCTTGGCCGAAGATGAGCTAGACTTGGTCGTTGCGGTCTCGGTATCCTTCGGCTTGCTGCTGGTAGACTTGGTAGTCTGTGCTGCCTCGGAAGATCCAGAGCCATGCTTGCTCTTGGTTGTGGTCTCGGCTTTGGTGGAAGTGCTTGTCGCAGGCGTGATCGTCGCCTTCTGCGAGGACGATGTCACGGTGGACTTGACCGTGTGCGAAGCTAGAACATATCAGCATCGAGCGATAGATTTCTTCCTATTTGATAAGAAGGGCTTACCTGTCTCCGAGGCCGTGTTTGCAGTTCCAGTCTGGCTCGGCGTGGCCTTGCTAGAAGCAGAGTGGGACTTGACTGCCGAGGAGGACGGCGTAGCAGTAGGCGTGCAGACAGCCGCTGACGAGGCATCGCGCTTGGCAAAGGCAGTGCCGTCCGTTGCACTCCAGTCCAGCAGCTTGCCGTTGTCCCATTTCCATGATGCAGTAGGGTACTTCTCATTGAACGCATCCAGCGCCTTGCCATAGACGTTCTTGGCCCCCGCAGCCTCGGTGCTAGTGACTCGTGCGGAAACCGATGAGATGCGGGTCGAGACAGCCGCCGCCTGGGTGCTCAGAAACTTATCCATCCAGCTTTCATATGCACTGGCCCAGCCGTTCTTGGGTTGCGGGAGGTCGAGGTCTTGGTTGCAGGATTTCTGTTGGCTCATGAGGTCATCAATCCCAAGGAAAGCTTTATACATGCGGGTGTTGGCGTTCTTGAAGTAGGTGGCGACGCTGTTGTCGCGGAGCATTGATACAACCACTGCCAGAGTGTTCATAATGCTCAGCGCGCTGCCCTGGCGGGCGTCTCCGGTGCCGTCGACCGAAGCCATACCGCTCAACTCTTCACTTCCGAACATCTGAGCCGATGGTCAGCTATTAGTTAATGGGTAGAGTGGACTGATAACGGGGTAGTGCATATTAAACTCACAGGTGCCTTGTACGAATTCAAACGACTGTCCATGGCCACCAGGTCCGGATACGTCTCACCAGGCAACTACCATACTGATTAGCAACCGGCATCACATTATGGTGGTGATTAATCCGGGAAGAGATACTTACATAACTGTAGAGCTTCTGGAGCCGGGGCTTATTCACTCCTTGCTTGTTCTTGAAGGTTGAGTCGATCGTAAGGAACCATTCTTTGAAACTGTCGCAGAACTTGTACTCGTCAATCATAGCCGTCAAGAAGGCATCAAGGATTTGGAGCTCGTCTAGAAATAGTTAGAGAATGCATAGACTCTAAAAAAGTGACCACTCACAAACATGATCCACATTAATGTGTGGCATCTCCTGGTTGTTCTTGTTGATCTGGGCTCCCAGATCGAGGTACTTTTGTTGGGCACTTGCCTCAACATCATCCCAGTACCCAGCCGTTGTTTTCGAAACGTCAGCTGCATTGGCGATGGTCGTGAACGTGACGGCGGCGTCGCAGGTGTCTAGCTTGGGAATGAAGTACCCGAGGAAGCTATAACCGCTAACTTTGTTTTGGCTAGTTTGAATATTCTTTGAACGAAAGTATTTGGGCTTGTAGATCGTCTGCCCCAAGTCGCAGGTGCCGAGCTTTTCAGTCTTGGTATGATCTCGGCGATCAAAGTAATTCAGACCGCGCCGCCTGGTCGATGAGGTGGTGTCATCCTCATTCTGCTCGATATCGTCCTCCGTGAGAGTGGTAGGGAGTGTGTATCGCCAGCAGGAAGCCTCAGCGCTCGCGCTCGCACTGGCAGCAACCGCCGACGACGAGGCCTCTCCACGTGGGATAACAGAGGCTGTGGTTAGATTAACCAACAGGAATAAAAGAGCGACAGCTTTTGAACCAGCCATGGTGAAAAAGAATTCAAATGACTGTATAAGAGTTGGTTGTGTGATGGTGACAGCAATTACAGAAAGGGACCAAGCAGGTATTTATCCTACGCTGGCGGCATCACGTTCTTCCTCATCTGTCGGTATATGGCTCAAGACCCTTTCAATGCCGAACGTTTGGGGGCTATGATGTTTCAATGTTGGGGCCAAACCGCGAGGCTCAGCAAGGATCCGAACAGGAAAGGTTAGGGCACGAATTGGTAGGATCAGCCACCGCCCCCAGCCTAACCCGCTTCTTAATAATTACCCCTTCCTTGTCGGCTTCCCACCGAACTTCATCTCTCCAAGACCCCGAAGACAACCTGAATCAATTGATCCACATGCACATCTTTGACTTACCACAAGAGCTTCTGGAAGCCATCTTGGCGCAGACCTCGCGTGGCTCTCTCGCCAGCCTCGCGCGGGTCTGCCAACGTCTCCGACCGCCCGTCGAGCGCGTCTTGTACCAGTCGGTGTACTTGCGTAACCACGACGGAGAAAAGTTCACCTACGCGCTGGACTGTGTACCTTCCCGTGCCGAGTATGTTAGAGAGCTTCTAATTCACTATCACTACGTCGATGTCGAAGATGAAGAGGAGTACTATCCATTGTATGCGGAAACCCTTGCTCCGACGATCGGGCGTCTCGTGAATCTGCGAACGCTTATCGTCAAGGGGCTCGAGTTCGACGCAGACCGAGAAGAAGACGACGAAATTATTGGGGGATATGAGAGAGTCATTGCCGAAGCCGAGAAATGGGACACTCTCTTCGCGCAATCTGCTGTGCCGGGCTCGCAGATCCTTCCTTCGCTTACAAAATGTCTGCCAAACCCTTTATTATCCTCTTACCTCATATGCTAACGTTCCTCAGGTGTGATGATCATGGATGACATTGCGCCCAATGAGCCAGCTTGGGACTTTAGTCTGAGGGGCGCCGTGCTGATCCATCCGCACCTCCAAGACCTGACCGTAGTCGGGGGCGAACTTGAGAGCCTGAAGAATCATGTACCTGCACCACGATCGACACCACTTGAAAGGCTAAACATGTTTGGCTGCGATGTGTCACCCTCCGCGATGGGCGAGTTGTTGTCGCTGCCGCGTGCCTTGAAACATTTGACGTATAAAGGGGCGCCTTGGTGTTACAGGCCCACAAATCTTATGCCGAACCGGCAAATATACGTCGACATGATCAAGAATCAAGCGGATTCACTTCTGAGTCTTGACATTGACTTCTATCCAGGGATTGTTAATAATCCCCCGGTAGACTTCACTGCCCTCGAGTGCCTGGAAGAACTCACCGTTGAATCTGATGCATTGAGAGGCACCGGAGAATACGACCCGAAGAATAACAGCAAGATATGTCTGTGGGAAAGTTCTGAACTAAAATGTCAGCTTCCTCCCAGTCTCAAGCGCTTAGTGCTGTTCCTATACACCCCGAGGAGTCTTCCGGATTGGCGTACCTTGATTATACTCTACAATTGGATTGCGCGAGGAAGTTTGCCAAATCTGGAAAAGGTCACCTTCCAGGTAGCAAAGCCGTGTGAACGCGAGATAATGGACCGATCGATTGGAGACAATGAACGGTCAATTGGCCAGGCATTTGAAGAGGTCAAAGTGGAATTGCAGTTCGAGCGGGTCCCTAACAGCAAGAACGACGGCTACGAGCTTTTCGACTGCCCTAACTGCGGCATTAATTGGCGAAACATGCATGCTTGATCTGAGCCTTATTTAATATCAATGGCATACCTGCAGCACTTCAGAGAATACATCTGCCAGCGTTTGATAATACTCTACTAGAAATGAAACACATCCGCACATCATAAGTAACCAGTAGCTGTAAATAACAAACTAGTAGCCTACAGCCCAATAATCTCCCAAAACAATCAAAAAAACCACACACCCTAAACCAAAAAATCACACCACCCCTCACCCACCCCATCCGACAGAAACCCAGGGGCCAAACCACCCACCCCCCTCGTATCACCATCGCACAGACCAAACATCAACAACCCAAACAA